TTTCTGCTTGTACTGCCTGGCTATGGGAGGACAATTAATGATGCCCACCACTGTGAGACTGTGGACATGGGTGAGAAGAAAGAATGGCCTCTGTTTTAAAACAATAGTGACATCTGGTGGCAGTATCCGCACACTGCAAGAGAACAGCACAAAGTTACTCAATAGGAAAAGAAAGACTTGCATTTATATTGCGCCTTTCCCATCCACCAGCAGTTTTCCAGCCAATGAAGTGCTATTAAACATAGCCACTGTTGGAATATAGAAAATGCAGCAGCTAATATGTGCACAGCAAGCTCCCACAAACAGCAACATGGCAATTCCTACAGAGGTAGTAAGAACTGTCAATGCTGGAGACAGAGATAACACAGTGTGGAGCTGGAGGAACTGCTGTATTCCTCTAGCTCCACATTGTGTTATGACAATTCCTACATTTGGTTACAGTAAATCCTCACTGAAATGGTGTAGCTAACTATCTGGGATGCTTTGGGTAGATATGCTGTCAACAATCTTTCTCATCGATATTAGTCTAAGCTATTGATACCAAATAAGGAAGGATGACCATAACAGGTTTTGGCTGAAGATAGGTGAAAAGGTTTAATTCTATTTTTATTAATAGCTATTCACGTTACCTTTAAGATATATAATAGTCACTTGTCAGACATTAGGTTCAACCCAATAGTAAGTTCACAATACTGTTGGCTAGGTTAACTAAGCACCAGAAACATCGAATCAAGTCATATTGGACTCAAAGTGTTAGTTCTGTTTTCTCTCTCCACAGATGCTGCCAGACCTGCAAAGTTTTTCCAGCACGTTTTATTTTTATTTAGAGTCAAACACTACTTAGACAATAGTGCAACACACTGGATAGCTCCTCCAGCAAACAGTCCTTTGTATCCTGACGGGCTGAGCTTATTTCATGACGTCAGTTAACCCTTTGAAGTACTAACTGCCTTATACAACAAATTTGATCGGAAAATAACAAAATTTAAAGAGCACCTTCAACACAATGAACTGTCCCAAGATATTTCACCGGAACATTATAAAACGAATACGACCCCAGATAAGGAGACATCCACAAGTTTGGTCAAAGAGGTAGGTTTAAAGAAGTGTCTTAAATACATGGGGACAGCAAGTCAAATCAAATCAGCCTTCCTATCCATGCATTCACAACACAGTAAAATTAAAACATTCAAAATCGTCCCCATTGATTCTAAGCCGACTTTAAGAATAACAGATACCAGGCACCAAGTTTACAGCTCAAACAAAAATCAACAATTTGTTGTTAATACTGTAATTTTAGAAGACCAAAGCTAGGTGATAAGATAATCTGATTAATGTCTATGATTTAAACCCAACGTTCTTTGATTCTAGCCCCACTCACCCAAAGACAAACAGACACAGTTAAGGGATAAATTAAGAACTATGGAAGAGATTCATCTGGTGAATTGACTTAAGTAGTTTTAATGATACATAATATCACAAACACACTGGATTGTATCTTGTTTGATTTTTGAAGACACCAGTCAATGCAAATCGCAAGGGAAGTCCAATATGACTTGATTCGATGTTTCTGGTGCTTAGTTAACCTAGCCAACAGTATTGTGAACTTACTATTGGTTTGAACCTAATGTCTGACAAGTGACCATCATATACCTTAAAGGTAATGTAAATAGCTATCCAAGGGATATTCACTTAGTTCTTACAACTGGGATTCTATTCTTCAAACTTTCAATAAGTTGATTACGGGAGGATAACTAGAGACAGACCAAAACTTATTCCAGCAGCTTTCTGTCTAAAAATACAATTCAAACTAGTTCAAACTTTGGTTTCTTTTTCTGTTTTTTTCCAACATTGTCTTTGTTAAACAGATCAGCACCAGCATCCCTGTGATGACTGTTTTTTAATATTCAAACATTTGCCAATCTTTGAGCATAATACAAATCTGGAACCAACATGTCTACAATAATCAACCTGCAATTAACTTCCCAGGCCAGATTCCATGTACAAATATCAGTTTAATAAATTTTGTTTTAACCAAGCTGCTGCTCACAATCCAAAGGTTGTCTTCAATTCACAGTTCCAACCAAAAATGAGAAAAATAAACACAATATGCTGAAGGTCTCAACATAAAGGAAAATGAGGTCAAGAAGCAGAGAGGTTTTGAGAGGATATTCCAGAGCTTAGGGCTGAGACAACTGTAGGCACAGCAAACAATATTGTTGGAATTAAAAATAAGGATGCATAAAAGGCCCAAATTGGAGGAGCACAGGACAATTTGCAAGAATACAAATTTAAGGGAGTAAACGAATATTTATGCTGAATGAGAAGAGACTGCTGATTCCATGGACTCCGTGGACTCTGATTGGTAGAGGCTGTGCCATTGAGATTGCACCAGATAATGATAACTGACAGTTAACTACCAGACTTTTGAACAGACCTCTCAAATATTAACTCTGATCTCTCTGTCTCTCTGTACCTTCTCTATTTCTGTAACTCTGTATTCTGCAATTTGTTCAGCCACCCTGATGCACTTTGTATGGTACAATCTGCCTGTACAGCACACAAAACAATACTTTTCACTGTATCTCAGTACATGCGGCAACAATAAATCAGATTTTAAACCAGACGGGTTGACTCTGATTGGTAAATATGTTGCCATGAGAAATGAACTGGCAAATGGCAGTCACCCATTTTGTTGAGTTGAGACAGGCACAGTGCATGTCCTTTCTGTCTGTAAGGAACAGGGCTCTGAGTATTACTATACGTAGTATCCAGTACCACACCACACGGTAAAAGGAACTGAATTGGTAGTCAGTGTAATTCTTTTCACATTCAAGATTATCCAGCAAACTTTACAGTATCAGAATTGGACAATATGTTGTTCAGCTTTGCATCCTATGTCTTGCAAATAGTTGTAGGGATCATAGAATCATAGCATCACGCAGCACAATGTAGAAGAGGCTCTTCAGCCTCTGAAAAAACAAAATTGCTCTAAATCTAAATGGTTAAAAAGGTGTTTGGCATGTTTGCCTTCATTGGTCAGACCTTTGAGTAGAGAAGTTAGGAAGTCATGTTGAGGTTGTACAGGACATTCGTGAGGCCTCTTCTGGAGTACTGTGTCCGGTTCTAGTTGCCCAATTACAGGAAGGTCATTATTAAGCTGGAGAGGGTTCAGAAGAGATTTACCGGGATGTGGCTGTGTATGGAAAGTTTGAGTTATAAAGAAAGGCTGGATAGGCTGGGACTTCTTTTCACTGGAGCGTAGGAGGTTGACAGGTGACCTTATAGAAGTTTATAAAATCATGAGGGGTATGGATAGAGTTAATGGTTGTTGTCCTTTCCCTAGGATGGGGGATTTCAAGACTAGGGACACATTTTTAAGACAACAGGAGAGAAATTTTAAAAAGGCATGAGAGACAATTTTTTTACACAAAGGATGGTTCGTGTGTGGAATGAACTTCCTGAGGAAGTCATAGAGTCGTAGAGATATATAACACGGAAACAGACACTTTGGTCCAACTTGTCCATGCCAGCCAGATGTCCTATATAAATCTAATCCCATTTACTAGCACTCGGCCCATATCCTTTTAAACCCTTCCTATTCATATACCCATCCAGATGCCTTTTAAATGTTGTAATTGTACCAGCCTTCACCACTTCCTCTAGCAGCTCATTCCGTACGCGCAGCACCCTCTGTGTAAAAAAGTTGCCCCTTAGGTCCCTTTTAAATCTTTCCCATATCACCTTAAACCTATGCCCTCTGGATTTGAATTCCCCTACCCAGGGAAGAGACCTTGCCTATTTACCCTATCCATGCCCATCATGATTTTATAAACCTCTATAAGGTCACCCCTCAAGGATGTGGGCACAATGATAATGTTTAAAAGGCATTTGAATTAGTACATGAATAGGAAAGGTTTGAAGGGATATGGGTCAGGAGCAGGCAGGTGGCACTAGTTTAGTTTGGGATTATGTTTGGCATGGACTGGTTGGACAGAAGGGTCTGCTTCCGTGCTGTATGACTCTACATTAGATCCATCTTCTAATACTTGGCCAATGGCTTGAATGTTAGGACATTTCAAAGTGCTCATTCCAAGCACTTGCTAAAGATTGTAAGGTTTTCCACCTGAACTATCCTCCCAGGCAGTGCATTCCAGATTCCCACCATCCTCCAGGTGGAAAACAATTTCCTCAAATCCCCTCTAAACTTCCTGACTTTCACTGTAAAATCATGCCTCCTCATTATTGACTCTTCAACTAAGAGGAACACTTACTTTCTATCCACCTTGACCATGCCCTTCATTATGCCATAATTGGATATGCTGTCTGATATAATCCACCAGTCCTTCTGTCATAAAGCCTGCATAGTTGGCAGCACACCAGTATTGGAAATTCATATGCCTCATTATCACACTGTGTTATAAACAAAACAAATTATTGGCTTGGTAGGCAGCATCCTGTTAGTGGCAAATAGTACTCATGTTGTTACTGCACAATAGTACTGTAAAATAGATAGCTTCACCTGTTGCTCAAGTACCTTACACTTCCAGGATAATCTGAGGTAGACCAGCACTCTTAAGGATCAAAACTGACAGCACCTTTTAACTGAATAGATGACAGCCATTTGCTGTTTCGTTTCTCAGGGCAATGCTTTGACTAATCAGAGTCAACCTGCCTCATTTAAAATTCAAACAAAGCCTGGTAGTTAACTGTCAATCATCATTAACTGGTGCACAATGTATGACAATGCCTCTACCAAGTAGAGTCCATGTGAAAATCAATCAGCACTTTCTTCCCACACAGTATAAATGGTGGTTTCCCCCATAAATTGGTAGTTTTGTACTAGTTGCTATTTATACTGCAATAGTTGAGGCTGGAGGTAACAAGGGGGTTTCAGCAGATGCGTTGAGGTAGGAATGAAGTCAGGCAATGCTACAGGGGTAGAAATTGGTATCTGAGTGAAGGTGGGCTTTCAAATGAGTCAGATGCTCAGCTTAGGATCAAGGTGATGCCAGATTTATAGCCTAGTTTAATCGCAGACTATTGCCAGGGAGAGGGACAGAGGCTGCAGTGTTGAAACAGAGTTTGGAGCAGGACTGAAAACAATACCTTCAACTTCCCAAGTTAACAGCCCCTATTTGCAAAAACCTGCCACAAACAGCCATGGCTGAATGATCAGATAATCTTGTGTAACATGTAATTTTGGTTGCAGGCTGCCTATTGAACAGAGGGATCTTGGGCTGCAATGGTAGTGCCCATATCTCTGAGACAGGAGACCTGGGTTAAGACATGGTGGTCGTTCAGATTATCAGCAATTTTTAAAAAAATAATTCCAGTTTGTTGTTGATGACAGCCCAGGATTGGACTACACTGGTCAAGGACATGTTTCTGAAACACTAGAATCAACAAAGCAGACGACGTTTGTAAGAAAACATTTTGCATTCAATCTAGAACTCCTTAGCTCCTCGGGGAGTGATAAAAGCTGGATAGCATTCAAAACTACTTCCTGTTTTAATCTAGGAATTAATTGAAGTGGCTTGAGTTGATTTGAGAGAGGACTGTCTACAGTCTTTTGTTTATATAACAAATACTTCAACAAGAGGCAGCCTCTCTAACGGAGACTGGAACTAACGTGTTAATGGTGAAACAAAAAGAAAAAACCAGTGGAGAAACTCAGCAGGTCTGGCAGCATCCGTGGCGAGAGAGAGAGAGAGAGAAAGCAGTCCTGGTGAAGGGTGTAAACCCGAAACTTTGGCTTTCCGGTACCTCTGATGCTGCCCGACCCGCTGTGTCCCTCCAGCTCCACGCTGTATTAAGAGAGCAGAGTTAGCGTTTCCAGTGCAGTGACTCTTCTGCAGAACATAATGGAACGTTAAGTCTCAAATGCAAATAAAAGCTACTTTTATGCTCCGAAAATAAAAAGTCATCCATTTGTGGACCAGTGTGTTCCTTCAAACCCGCCAGGGGTGTCACTGCCTTGTGCTTCGTGATTACTAAGTCAGTTATTTTTGTTAAAGTAATCAAACTCGCCGACTGTGAATATCAAGCATCCTCATTAGGTCATGTTCTAGAGATGGTGAGGGGTCGACAGTGGAAATGTGTGTGTGAGTCACAGAATGAGCGTGTGTGAGCGAGCGACTGGCGTTGGGTAATTTTTTTCGAGTCCCGTTCATTGTTTTTTTTTTCTGTCACGGGCTCGTCTCAACTTCCCCATTTCCTCCGTGTGACGCAAAGCAGAGAGAAAAAATTGGAAGTTTCCCGACTTCAGAACATACTGGGCTCTGTGTGTGTGTGTAGCAGAGCAGTGAATCTCAAGGCGTGTGTGAGAGACAGAAAGAAAGAGGAGCCGAGCTGCTATTTTGCACCTAACATGCCTTCACCGTACTTCGTGTTAGACATCCCTGCTCAGACTATGGAAGAGTTTTATTTAATTA